GTGCTTTATGTATATCAATTCTGAATTAACACATCAAGAAGACAACTTAGCTTTTTTAGATACTGATTACCACTTTAGTCCTTAACCATAATTTATGTTCATTATTTACTGAAGTGCTTAAATCAGGCATGACTATAAGTTTCTAAGCTCTCAATAGAAAAAGAAAAGTAGTTTTGCTTGTCCACATTGAAAGGACTTCTTAGGGAATCATCTTCGGTTTTCACAGAATTGGCCTTGCCAAGTTCTTCTAAGACAGTGTGTTCCCATGTAGATTTTAAATTGAATCCTAGTATTCTGTCTTCCTATAGTCTGTTTGCTTGAACTTTTTGAAAGATAAATTAAAGAAATAATTTCAAGCTCAAGTTTGGACTTCCGTTGTTTGTGTGTCAGATCGGTTCCACCCCAGGTTTCGAGGATGGAAATTTTGAATCTGCCAAGTTGGCACGCCCTGCAGCCTCATTTTATATTGCTGATGAGGATTGCCTATATTTTGTTGATTCAGAGGTATGCATTGACTTGTAAGTTGTGATATTTGATTATGATGCTGGGGCTATTTTGCATAGTTTTGTAACTTACCATTTTACGTGTGTGGGTCTCTATCTACTAAGAATCATGCCATCAGGAAAGCTGATATGGGGAGGCGGGTTTTAGAAACCCTCTATCCAGTGGGCGATACTAATAAGAAGAGTAATCAATTTTGGACTTGGATCATGCTCAGTCTAGGTTTGAGAAGTAATGCTGATACAAGGTCTGAAGAATTTGATTTACAATCACTAATGTTTCCTTGGCATCTGATCAAATCCATTGACGATAGTCTCTTCATTATAAACCGAAGGTAAAACAAACCCTTCAAGTGCTATTGTTTCCTAACCAATAATCCGTGGTCACTTGTCTTTAACTTTTAAGTGGTATTCCATTTGAGTGAAATGTGTTTCACTTATTTTTTCTTTCATCATGTTATCAGGAATGAACTTTTAGTGCTTATTAGTAGTACCTTAGAGATAGATTATTTTGAAATTAATTTACCATGTGAAACCCAAAGTATGAGTGGTGAATGAAGCCATGCCTTATTTCAACTTTATATAGGCATTGATGTGATTAATTGATCTAATTTGCAGCTTTGAAACTCTATGGATTCTAAATTTGGCTTCAGGAGACATAAAAGAAGTAGTCAAAGGTTTGTTTGTTTTAAAAATAAAATAATAAACTCTTTTGCCACTTTGTTTATATTACATTTCATTGAGTCTAACATCAGAATTTAAAAGGGTTCCCGGAGATTTTGGCGGTCTGTGGACCGCAGATCATGGAAAAAGTAACCCTGTTAAAACATATGCCACATGATTGGTTGCAACAGCAGATGAATGCTGTCTGTTCACCAGAGAGGCTTCCATATGCTGGTCTATTATCTTCGTTGACCACCTTGCAGAATCACGTAATCCTTTGTGACATGGGTACCATTTTTACTGGATTATTTTTTTCTCTCTTCAAGTGAGTTTGTTTTGTACTTTGTCTATAATACTCAATTACTCATTTCAATGCATGTAATTTTGAAGTTGGACAGAGGATTTTGAAACTAAGTGAAGAATCTGGAGTATGTTCAACCTTCAAGTTTTCAAATTTTGGCATCCTTGGAATACCTTATTGGTTGTCTTCCTCTTTGGAGAAAGTTTATGCTGTGTATGTTTACAAAGACAACAATATGCTAGTTTCCTTATAATTCCAATTTTCTTTTATACTTTCCAGGTTCTGATTATGTGACAATGAATTGCTGAATTGTTTTCTCACGAACTCCATGTTTTTCTTCATATTTTTGGCTGATTTAATAGTGCTGGTGGACATCAGGGAGAGATTGATCATTTTCAATGTTTTAGTTTGTTACCAGGTATTTTTCTTACTCTTAAATATGCTTCTGGTATTCCTTGACATTGTATTTCACTCTTTGGTGTGATATTTGAATTGGGTCTGCCTATATTTTCTTGATATTTCCAACTATGCTTCGCCTTGCCATGATTTATGATTATTTCAAAGTTAAGCAACAGAGCGATGTTTCCTGAAGATGTTAGAGAAAATTTCAATTTGGTGGAATGTTGTGCTAGTAGTTTGTCTTAGCTTCCTCGCATCTTATTATTGGCATCAAGTCAACATGCTGGACCCAGAGAGAAAAAAAAAAGATTTTGCCAAACATGCAGATAAACAATTGTCTGCCAGTCGTTGCTAATTCCTTTCCCAACATTAGTTCTCATGTAGAGTAAGCTGTTTTGGTAATCTATGCAACTTAAAAAGTTAATGCTTTTTTGATCCTAGAGTTTTATTGTCTGTGTAACAGGTAGAGTTAGCATACAGTTAAATGTAGATATCCCTGTGGATACTGAGCTTGTAGAACAGTTACAAGAAGGTTGTATATGGCACCAGGCAAGAGGATCCGCTACCGAAGTGTCCGGCATAGAGGATGTACGAGGGTCTTCAGAGAAGGTTCCTATCTGGCAGAGCTTATTTTCTTTTATTCATTTTTTTGCCAGATTAAGTTCCATTATCCTACAGTACAAAATATTATACTCCATGCTTTTAGTAGCTTAAGATTTCAGTTCTTTGGAGTTCGCAGGTTGGTGTTGCTCAACAATGGTATGATGAATTGGATAATCTTGCCTCTTTGATATCACCACCTGAATCAGAGTTGAATGTGGAAGATAACAGCACAACTTCGGAAGTAGGATTTCAAAATGGAAAAGTTTGCATCGATTGTGTTGTCAACACTAGTCCTGGGACAAGTGAGGTGTGCACCTTCAGTTTATATCTTTACTTGTTTTGTTTTGGGTCGTTTGAAAGCAACAGAATCTCTGGCCATGGTTCCAATTTTGCCCTTACATCTTCATTCTTGGCATTGTGCAGGTTATTGTTTATGCGGCACTGTATTTAAAACTTAGAAGAAAGAAAGAATTATTAGAGGATAATCAGGAGATATATGCAGCAAGGATAGCAGATATTTTACACCCAGAGAAAAGTGGAAAGATAGGAAGAGATTCATGCATCCAATTCTTATTAAAATCACACAGTGATTTGAGAGATCTCATATTTATGAAACCTCTACATGTGAGGATAAAATTGGATTGCCTTGATCATGAAAAGGCTGAAAATGCAAAAGATATTATCCTAAGAGACTCCAAGGTTGAGGTCAATGTATCGCTTAGCTCATAATATTCAGAGTTGCTACCTGCATATTCTTTTGTAACTTTGTAATTTTTTTTATTGATTTGTAATGTTGTATACTTCATCATGGTTATGGATAATGATACATCATGATGTGGTATATGGCCACATGAATAATTCGTCCACGTTTTATAATGTAAGTGGATATTTATTGATACTATAAGATTCACAAGTTTTAACCATTAAGAAGGTGATTTATGCCTTAAATTTGTAGTAAATGGAAGCAAGTTTTCCCTGTTATTATTATTATTATTATTTTGGGGCATTCCATTTGTGCTTTAGAGCAATGGAATCTCCTTATTTTGATGTCCTGTAAAACGCTCATTGGCTTCCTACAAGGTCCGTGATGGAATGATGTTCATTATAATATGAACTACATACAAAAAGCATCATGAGGTTATGAAGAAGTGCCATGAGGACTTACAATTTCACAAACCCAATTGTTTTTTCTTCTTCACTTTTCAATCGATCCAAACAGTCCGGCATATTCTCAAGCTTTATTTTCCTAAGGTTGTTTTCTCTTTCATGGTTTAAGCAACCACCAGCAGGCCTTTGTTCTTTTTCTTTGATTAGAAAAGTATCACTGCAAAGTACAAACAGAAGAAAAGGAAACAGAGAGAAACAGAAAAGTGAATTTTTATTTTAAAGAAACAGCAACTTTTCATTGTCGAGAATGTGAGCCACTTCCTCTATATAAGCAAACTTTGTATGCGACACTTACCTTCATCTCAGAGGTTTTAAATTCGAATACCCTTTTCCCAACACCTCTCTTTTTTATCATATAACAGCAAGATGAAGATGCAGTGCAACTCAAACGACAAAACCTGCCACTATTTTATTCCTCTTTCTCTTCCTCATCATTGTGTCTGCTCAAAAAACTACTACATTCACAGTTGGTGGCAATTCCGGGTGGACTTTTAACGTTGAAAACTGGACAGATGGAAAGAAGTTCAAGGCCGGAGATATACTTGGTAATGCTAGCTAGAACATGCATCATACTTTTTTTCTATAAGCAAGATTGTTTCGATTCGTTTTATGTGACCAACTTATTTTTATTTTTGTGTAGTTTTCAACTATGATCCATCCTCCCACAATGTTGCAGTTGTTTATGCCAATGAATTTACTAGTTGCAGCGCTTCTTCAAACTCTGAGACATTCAGCACCGACAAAGATCGAGTCAAATTATCGAAGGGACTCAACTATTTCATCTGCACCGTCCCCGGCCACTGCAATGATGGAGTGAAGATTTCAGTTAATGCTTCCTAAACCAGTGGGAAAAATAAGTTGAAGGGGAGGGGAGGGAAGGGATGCTTATCTCTATGTATGATGGTTTGAGTATTTATTTTTCACTGAATATTGGACTGTATTGTATGAATAAACAATGTGACATTGTGTAGCTTTGGGGCAGTCTTGTATCTATATTTAACCGCAGCTAGAAAGATAAAAGAAAGATCCCATTATGTCCAAAAACTCTACAACCGCCAAAAATAATTAAGCAAATTTTTTTTTGGAACTAATAATTAATTAAGCAGATTTGGTTCCCACGTTTTTCTCTTTAAATTAAGACACTAACAACCTCTTTTCTTTTTTCCTTTCCATGCTCTGCGGAAAAACCAAAAGACATTAACCCATTTTGGTTTCTTGCTGACCTACACTATCCCTTTTTTCCCGGGAAAGACAACAACGTTTTTTTTCCCTCCATGCCTGGAAGTTGTTGATTCTTTTAGTTTCATTTTGGTTTCAGTTTTCAGGTTGTTATTCTAGAAATTCAAAGTTGGTTGTACTAAAATCTTGTTTTTCTGTCAATGTTTATAACCTCCCTTGTCTTTCTTCTACACCATATGCATTGCAAATCAATCCATTCCATTACACCTTTCTGTTGAGCCTCCTCTTGTGAAAATTGCTTTTCTGGTTTTTGGGAAACTTTGTCATCAACTCTTCATCTGCAGTTCATATTGAAAACTGTGGATTGAAAACATTGCAAGGATCATAAAAACTGAGATAATTGCAAGGAAGTCTTAAGATATTTATAAAGTACATGAGATGAGTTGCTTTTCTTGCTTTTCATCCCATGAAAAGAAAGCATCTAATAAAAGATCGGATAGCAGGAGTGCAGGACAATTGCCTACCACTCTTTCTCAAACGGAACACAATGTTGCAGCACAGCCTCGGCCTCCAGCTGGTAAGTCGCATTTTCGCCTTTCTTAATGTGTTTGTTATAAGCACTGTGATTGTTTTCAAGAAGAAAATGATTGTCAAGGCAGCCTTCCTAGCATTGTTAGAACATTGGTTTTTAATATAGTTGCATTTAATTTAAGTCTCCTCATGTATTTCATATCCATGCCTTTTGTGTGGGAAATAATTATCTGTCTTTATATAAGCAGAAGTTCCTAAACCAAGGCCTACACCACCAGCTGAGAACCAAACATCACAAACAGCACAAACAGCACAAACAGCAAACACTAAGAATGCCAATAAAGAAGCTGTAAACAATAATAATAATAATATTGCTGCACAAACTTTCACCTTCCGCGAATTGGCAACAGCAACAAAGAACTTCAGGCAAGAATGTCTGATAGGAGAGGGTGGATTTGGAAGAGTTTATAAGGGCAAACTTGAAAAAACAGGACAGGTAAAGTGGCTCTTGGGCCTTGTAGATTCTTCAATGTTTTCAGTGTTAAACTTACTTGAAGGATTGAGTTGTGACCCTTTGGCTCATCTTAATTACTTCAGGTTGTAGCTGTGAAGCAACTTGACAGGAATGGCTTGCAAGGAAACAGAGAGTTCCTTGTCGAGGTGCTGATGTTGAGCCTCTTACACCATGAAAATTTAGTCAATCTTATCGGATATTGCGCTGATGGCGATCAGAGGCTTCTGGTGTATGAGTACATGTCATTGGGATCTCTGGAAGACCATTTATTAGGTACTATACTATGTGTTTGTAAATTTCTTTTCGTCCCATCTTGTGCCCTTATATGATAAGAGCAAAGAAATTATACATTTTATAGTGCCAATAAGAAAAAAAACAAAACTTCCTAGTGTCACTTAAAACACAGAAAGATCCCAAAAAGTGACCAAGTTTTGAAAACTATACTGCTGTCTGGCTTCTCATGCATTGAATGTTATTTTGCAGATATTCCATCACACCAGAAGCCATTAGATTGGTTCAAAAGAATGAGAATAGCTCTAGGAGCAGCCAAGGGACTAGAATATTTGCATGACAAGGCCAACCCTCCCGTTATCTACCGCGATTTAAAATCTTCAAACATCTTACTAGACGCCGATTTCAATGCAAAACTGTCCGATTTTGGGCTAGCTAAGCTTGGACCTGTTGGAGACAAGACACATGTATCTTCAAGAGTAATGGGTACATATGGTTATTGTGCACCAGAGTACCAAAGAACAGGCCAACTCACTGTCAAGTCAGATGTGTACAGTTTTGGAGTTGTTTTATTAGAGTTGATCACTGGAAGGAGAGTCATTGACACCACAAGAACAACCAGGGAGCAAAATCTAGTTTCTTGGGTAAATTTAAACTTCCCCTCACATTTTCTTCTTCTGATTCACAAAGTGTCACCTGTGTTTTTTTTCTTACAAAAGTTTCTTTTTTGGGTCTTTAACAGGCAGAACCAGTATTTAAGGATCCAAACCAGTACTCGGAACTAGCTGATCCACTTCTCAGAGGAGACTTTCCAATAAGAGCATTGAATCAAGCTGTGGCAGTTGCAGCAATGTGCCTCCATGAGGAAGCATCGGTTCGTCCCTTGATGAGTGATGTGGTGAGTGCTCTTAGTTTCCTTGGGACAGGTCCAGAAACTGCCACCTCACCTATAAGCATGCCCTCTCCATCACCTGATCAAGCCATGTCTAGCATCACCGAGGAGCCTCAGGAGGAAGAAAGTGTGATTGAACGCCAACGCGCTGTGGCAGAAGCCATAGAATGGGGCTCAAGCTCAAGGCACAATGGAGCATCACGATGTGCAAGTACTTCTTCATTTTGAAACTAAGTTGCATTTATCTATATATATACACACATCATATATCATATACGTCACAGTGTTGTTTCCACAGAACAAATCATTTCTGTATGAGCCAATGTCAGATTGTAACAATGTACTGAGTTGTATATATCCAACAGAGAAGGTGAAGGAACAATAATTTCAAATGTGAGAAATTTTCTCAATTTATGATTTCATCTGTCATTGCTTCCCGGATTTATAGAAACCTTATATGTCACACTCTATCAATGGCATAGGCCCTCACCATAAATCCATTTGTACCACATTTATTAAAGTTCACGTGCATAGATGGTAGATGGATCCGGCATCTACGAGAGAGATATGATTTACGAATACGAATTTAGCCATAAAATGTGATATTTGTAGCATTACTTGACCATAAAATGTGATATTTGTAGCATTACTTGAGTTCGTAATTAAGTACCAAAGGATTTTTCATTGCGTAAATAGCTGAGGGAAAAACTGCATGTGTATGATCATTGCGTAATTCCCTTTACCCTCCGTTTGGATGCGGGAAAATAATTCGGAATTTAGCTAAAAGTCGGGAATTTAAGAGAAGAAATTGACAATTCGCGTTTGGCAACTTAAGCACGGAATTTATTAAATGACACGCGGAAAAAATCAAGGAAATTGAGGCATCAAATTCCCGAGTTTAATTTCCACCAAAATAGACGTCATTTCACAATTTCCATAGTGCGGGAATTCATATTTTCCATGGAGCCAAAACTTAAATAAATAAAAAAGGCCAAACTTTTCATTAAAAAAAAGTCATTAATCACTCTGTAGTTGTTTGCTAGCTTTATCACTTTGTGTTATCACCTTGCTCTGTAATTGTTAGCTTCATCTAAAACAAGTCATTATTACCCTCATAATCTTAATCGTTTATTCCTATACTTTTGTCTGCAACTTTTTAATCGAAGCCATTTTAATTTCTCTAGTCATTGGTCTTTTGGCAAGTGAAAAAGAAGTATCGGGGTCTTGATTGCTTCTAGTTCTAATTACATAGGTACCAGAGAAGTGTCTGCACATGAAAATATTGAATTAAAGCTGATTGATGATATTAATTCAGCAATACCTTGTGTATAAAATTCTACTGATGAAGTTGATTATGTTGATTTGGATGGTAATACACAAGATTTAGAAGATATTCATGTTATTGATGATATTTCACCAACATCAACAAATGGTCAAAAGAGAAGAAATCGTGCATCAAATTCTTATGATATTCTTCCTACAAAGAAAAGAGCTGCTGTCAAAGATGTCATTGCTGATTCGATTACTAGAATGGCTTTATCATTTGAAGTCCGTGTTGATACTAAGAACCTTGATCCAGCAGAGGTATATGCTGAAGTACAAGCAGTACCAGGTCTTAGTGAAAATGAACAACTCAAAGCATGTGCTTGGCTTATAGAAAATGACAAACAATTTCACATGCTGAAGGCACTCCCAATTGAGAAAAAAAAGATTATGTTGCTGATGTTTATTCCACGTGGGGAGTGATTTGGTTTGCTAATATGCTCTGTTTGTTTAAGTTGAGTTATTTAGTTCATCAAATATCAATGCTCACATCTCAAGGCACAATGGAGCATCACAATGTGCAAGTACTTCTTCATTTTGAAACTAAGTTGCATGTATATCTTTATATATACACATCTTATATGTCACAGTGTTGTTTCCACAGAAAACAAAAATTTCTGTATGAGACAATGTCAGATTGTAACAATGTACGGAGTCGTATATATCCAACAGAGAAGGTGAAGGAACAATAATTTCAAATGTGAGAAATTTTCTTAACTTATGATTTCATCTGTCATTGCTTCCCGGATTTATACAAACCCTATATGTCACACTCTATCAATGACATTGGCCATCACCATAAATCCATTTGTAATACATTTATTAAAGTTCACGTGCATAGATTGTAGATGGATCCGGCATCTATGAGAGAGAGGATTTACGAATACAAATTTAGCCATAAAATGTGATATTTGTAGCATTACTTGAGTTCGTAATTAAGTACCGGAGGGTTTTTCATTGCGTAAATAGCTGAGGGAAAAACTGCATGTGTATGATCATTTCGTAATTCCATTAATTTCAAATATCAATGCTGGTTCAAATATTAATTTCGTAATTTCGTAATTCCATAATGTAACCCTTTTGATTAAAGAAAAATTACTTCTCTAAAAAAAATTACTGATGAATTACTTATAATTATGACACCAGGATTAAAACAAATTCCTTTTCTCATGGCTTTCTTTAAGCAAAAATAACGCATCCATCGTAGCTTTAGGGTTTAGAACATATCAAGTATTTGATAAAATACAAACTAAAAACAGTTTCTTCATAGCCTCTCTGATTTTTCATCTCTGTCTCTACTTTCTTCCATGTCTTTTCCCTCTTTCACTCTGATTACAAAAGATTTAAAAAAAAATAAAAAATAAAAAGACAAGTATATTAAAAATAAAAAAATAAAACCAAGAATATTAAACCAGACTATAAACTATTTTTCTTTTTCTTTTTTTAGTCCAAACTGGTTTGGGTTTGGGCTAATGATCATAATTTTCTTTTCATTAAAAGAAAAAAGACCATAATTTTTTGAGGAGCTGGGCCTAAATAACTGGGCTGACATGTACCCGCCACCAATTTCCTTTGATTGCCCAACGTTGTACGTCTCTGCGGGTGGACATCACGACCGGTAACCAAGATCAAAATCCAACTCTAGTACAACAAATCCGATAACTCCTCTCTCTCTCTCTCTCTCTCTCTCTCTCTCTCTCTCCCCCTGTGAAAAGAACGAACTTCTGAATCCTATGTGATTCTCATGCCAGGTACGTTTTGCATCTTTTTCAATACGATATATTTGTTACAGTTTATACACTTTTGCAATGCAATGCAAATTGATTTTTTTTTTTTGGGTTCAAATCCTGATTGAGCTTAATTTGATTAAATCTTTCATGTATTGGTAATTTCCTATTTGTTTACATACATAAGACGGGGTTTATTGGGTGTAAAACAAATTCAATTCATATCGTATTGGTATCTTTTCCATTGTGTCTTGCTACGAATTAGTGTTACAAGTTTTATTTCCCTCATTTTTTGTGCTTTTTTGTGGTTTCAGGTAATATCTGGGTTTAATAGTGACTTGGGCATTGGTTATAATCCTCTGAAAGCACAGGAAGTTTGCTTCTTTGGGCTTTTGAAAATCAAGAGCTGATTTTTTAAGCAAGATTTGGGAGCTAATTTGATTTGGTATTAAGTGGAGAGATATGAAAAGTGAAGTTTGGAAGTGGGTTTTAGGTTTGATATATATATTTGCTGTTGCATCTATCTGGATAGCTGCCAGTTTTGTAGTACAGTCTGTTGTAGATGCCGGTGTGTCCCCATTTCTCATCACGTACATATGCAATTCACTGTTTGTGATCTACATTCCCTTAGTTGAGATTGGAAGGTATTTGGAGGATTCGTGTGGCGGTTTGTGGTTTTGGAAAAGTAAGAAGAGTAGCCCCTTGCAAAGATTAGGAGAGTCAGAGCAAACCACTCTTCTTGAGGAGAGTGATGCAATTGTGAAAATGGATGCGGAAGATGGAGGAGTTAATCTTGGTACAGAAACAGAACCAAAAGTTGTATCATACGAGCTTGTTGGGACTTCAACAACTCGAGACAATGTCAACAAAACTGCTGATAAGCAAGTGGATGAAAAAGGGCGATGGACGCGAACTCGAGTGGCAAAAGTTAGCCTATTGATTTCCCCAGTTTGGTTTCTTGCACAGCTCACTTTCAATTTGTCATTGAAGTATACTACAGTTACAGTAAGTATTTTTCAACATTGTATGGCACACCTTGCTTCTTAAATTGGTTCATTTGTTTCATCAATTTGGTATGATTGATTTGTTCTCCTTGTTGCGTGCAGTCGAATACCATCTTAAGCAGTGCATCCAGCCTTTTCACCTTTTTGGTCTCTCTAGCATTCTTGGGTGAGAAATTTACTTTGGTGAAGTTTATTAGTGTTCTTCTTTGCATGGGAGGAACGATAATTGTCAGCCTTGGTGACTCGCAAACTACTTTAAGTACAATTGCTTCAAACCCTCTACTCGGAGACATACTTGCTCTTGTCTCGGCAGCCTTGTATTCTGTGTATGTTACCCTAATTCGCAAGAAGTTACCGGATGAGGATGATGAAAAAAGTGGCCGTGCCAGTATGGCCCAGTTTCTGGGCTTTCTAGGCCTTTGCAACATTCTTATATTTCTCCCAGTTGCCCTTATACTTCATTTCTCAAAGTTGGAGCCCTTTTATATGCTAACCTGGGAGCAGGTTGGTCTCATTGTTGGCAAAGGTTCGTACTTAACTGTTATATTATATGCTTTGTAACTTGGAGTTACCTGTTCTGATATATACCTTTGTTTTTTTCTATTTGTCTTTGCATGCATTCTTAGAGTAATGCTAAAGACACCAATCTTAAAATTTTGGATACCAACTCATATCCCAGGGTTTTATTTAGTCTCACTCTAAACCTTATTTATTTTTAACAACTAAAATTGCATGGCAGCATCTTCCTTATCATTTGATGAGTAAACTTTGACAATTGAAACTCAAGTGCTTCTAGTATTATTGATCTTCACACCAACATACTTATGTCTGCCCAGTTCTACATGCAAAGAAATAATTTTAATGCTTTTTTTTTCTTCCGGAAGAGGGAGGGGGTGGAATGAATAGCTTATAGTATCCTTTGAGGGGCAAAACTTTTATTTCATCCAGAACTAGTAAGCTGATATATTAGTTATAGGGTGATTTTATGGCAAGGCAATCTGATAAGATCTTGCATTTATTGCTTGACTACTGTTATAGCAATTGTCTAAAGAAAAGCATTCTCTGAGTTCTTATATTGGTTTGTCATTTATTTGTACATGTAGCTCGTTTGAAATAAACCTTTAGTTACTGAATCCCATAACCTATTGATGATAGGCCGATTTCATTGTGGTCCAATACCGATTTCTCTTTTGCATGATTTTTAGTCCATTATTTTAGGCAAGATATGAGCATAGCTGGCTTGAGACACACAGGCATACAGATAGGTCATGTGGAGTTCGATGTTGTGTTTCTAACTTCATATAAAACCTATACTAAATCATATGGAATTTCATGTGGTGTTTAGGTTTGTTGGATAATGTTCTGAGCGATTATCTATGGGCCAAAGCTGTTCTTCTAACAACGACCACAGTAGCAACAGCCGGTCTAACGATACAGGTTCCGTTGGCGGCAATTGTGGACTCAATGACTGGTCATGCTCCTCATCTTGCTGATTACCTTGGAGCTGTGGCTGTCATGATTGGATTCGCCGGCATCAACATTCCCATTGATGCTTTTAACAAATCAAAAGAATCTATGCATGTATTAGAGAGGGAAAATATTGGTCTGAGCGGTGAAGCTCACAATTCATCAGGCAGGCCTGATTCAGCTGCCCCTTCATAGCATGCTCAGGTTACTCCGAATGCAAATATATGTTGTACTATACCTCTTATTAGAAATTTTTGTAAATGCAACTACGATAAAAGTTAGTTAATTACTTCATTACCGATTGCCTGATATAAAAAGAAGCATTAGTTGCAGTGCTATTTACTTTCATGTTACTAATTACTTCATTACTGATTGCCTGATATAAAAAGAAGCATTAGTTGCAATGCTATTTACTTTCATGTTAGGATCGTCTTTCTCATCCTATCATTCGATCATAGAAGAAACCGTGAGAGTTATGTTTCTGTTGGATTTTCTTTGTTCAATTTTAACCAAATGTGATATTCTAAATTACTCTAATTTGTGTGATGGGGCACGTTGGTGAGGTCAGGACTCATGTCTTGGTTTCTATTTAGATTTTTTGTCATTTGGTCACTTGTATAAAAAACTTTCCCGTCTCCAAGTAATCATTGAAATTTTAAAATTGTCAAGCCAAAAAATAACACTAAAAATTACAAAGACACTGCATTGTCCACCGGAGGAGCCATACTGACTCAACCTTGACAAGTACCATTGTTGATCGCTTCTCCAAGCAAATTCCTTCATAACAATATATCTTATGATAAATTAAAATTAAAATTCGAATGGTGGGAGAATAAGTCCCCAGTCCCCGTTAAGAAGCAAATTGGACAGCAGCTTCCTAGAATTAATTGCCAAATCCAAATGACCAACCCAGAAACAAATAGAGAGACTTGCATCCTTATATCTGTTAACTCTGCGACACCGTTGAACTTTCATGACCATATCTCTGCATCACTCTTCTTGTTGCAAGTGCTGCAGCCTCGCTTGCACGGAATGTTCCACTTGCCATGATTGCAGCAAATTCAGCAGAGATTTCCTCTTGCACCTTACTTCGAGCATCCCCAAGAGGATCTACAACCCCATTGGCAGGTTTGACAGCACTCTGTGATGTTCCCCGTTCCTCCGACTTGGTGAGCTGCTGCCCTCCAGATTTCGATTTAGCACCATTCTCGGTGTTAGAACTACTACTCAAGGGTTTCACGACATTCGTTGTTGGTTGAACCACAGGGGGCCTGAATTGTGGAGCTTGAGGAGCAGCACCACTTTTCAGTGTTGCTTCCAAATTCTGCATCATGGGCACTGCAAAAGAAAGTAGGGGGGGTCATTCAGAGAAGGCTTGCATTATTGAACCACAGTTCCATATTAACAATCCACACAACCTTCCTTTCCATTAAAACTCATTATCTTGAATTCTCTCTCTTTAATCCTAAATTCCAAAACCAAACACACCAAACATGGAAGATTCTAAGTTTACTTATCTGTATCACTAAAATATAAAAAATGCTACTTCAAACAGAGGAAATCCATATAACGAAGTGTTAACTAATGATAGGCAAAAACAGACAGAAAATAAATATAACTTACAAATAAGAGCACCCATTGGACTGCCCATAACTTCATTAGGGAGCTGCAGAATGTAGTCTGGAACGGTTGCACTCACCAAAAACTGAGCAACCTCATTGCTAAAGTTGTTGCAATTGTGATTAAGTAAACTATAGGTTTCCACAGTATACCGGGGACTGATTTCCTGCAAATACATCTCAAAAACATCCTTGGGCACATGTGTGACACCCAATTCTACCACGCGTATTGGTGTCCCATATGGTGTAGATCCAGCAGGAGCATGTTGTATGCTTCCCCCAAAATAGTACTCATTACCATAAACCACAACTCCTGTGTGCCTGTATTAAAAATTAACAATGAAGACTTGAAACCAATGCAAATGCCTTGCTAAGGAAACTGGAAATAACAGTACTTCCTCAAATCAACGCACTCCACACTTGTATTCCAATGAACAAAAAACACTTACCATATGCCCTCGATGGCTTTCCCCAAGAAAGCCATGGACATCTGCCTAGCTAGTCCTTGGCTTAGGTCATATACATTCAAAGTGACCTTGTGACCCTCCTGCAACCAAGTTTTAATATATTAATTGCAAACCCAAAAAGAAATAAACATGGGGAAAATAACAAACAACATTACGATACAATAAAAAAGAAAAATACACACCTCTGCCATCTCTTGCCGTTCAATATCAAAATGCTCAGTTGAAGAAGATGTAGGGTACTGAATTAATCAAGATCACCTATGCAAACAACGCTGGTAAGAATAACCAACAAAAATATATAAAAAAAAGTGGGGAAATTTGAGGGGGTAAACAACGCATTCAGTTCTGGGCAGCTAAAGCAAACAAAGACGTTTCCTACTCGACTCTCAAATCGGGCACTTCAAAGCCCAAGACGGATGAAAACATGCCCCAAATCCTAATGCAAACTTAAATTTACAAGTCCAAAAATGGAAAATCCTAAACTATGCAAAATAAAATTACCAATTTTTAAGATTTAAGCAGCATTCAAATAGGCTCCATACAGAATTCAACAACACAACCAAATAATTGCAGCTACATTGTACGAATTTGATCAATTACTTTACAAATCATTGAAAACAACGGCAAAAGTCCTGAACTTTACCTCCAAAGAAGACCTTTTCAATGTTCAAATTCCAAAATACCACACAATTAACCTTATCATTAAATATCACACAGATCAAACACAAAACCCCAAATTCCACACAAAAAATTTCCGAACTTTCGGCGCAAGAACAAGCTCTGTTTAAAAAATTTCTACAATTCTCGACAAAGTTCAGAAATTTATCATTAGAAGTGCATTAGATAGAGCAAATCAAATTGAACTACTCACAGGCTGATCGATTAGGTTTCGAGCTGTGCTTTGAGAGAGAGAGAGAGAGAGAGAGAGAGAGAGAGAGAGAGATATAGAGATAGAGAAAGCGTACCTAAGCGCGAAGACACGAAGAAAGTTCTCTTTTCTCCGCTTTGTGCAAAACAAATTAAGGAACTTGGTTCGGTCCCCTTTAAATACTTGCTTGCCCCAACCATTTGGGACGAGAATTTGGATTCCCGTTCACTTCTATGACTTTCTAGAACCTACTAACCACTTACCTCTCGCCACGTGGATTCTCATTCAAAGCCCACGCGCTCTCTGGAAAATATTTAGTTTACTTTTTGGCGCGACCTCTCGTTTAACTCTAACTAATTGACCAAATCAACCTTTTTTTATAATATATTTTATTCGCGTAGATTGAAAAATTATATATTAGTTACTTTTTTATTTTGTATTTTTAATTAAACCTTCGAATATTAGTTTTCCAATAACTAATGTTTGATGTTATTGGGCTTCTACCATATTTTGAGGTGAAGATAGTGTCTTTTCTTTTTTGTCAAGGTAATAATGCTATGCACAAATGTTCAAGAAATAAGGTTTGTCATGGTAATCTGTCACTCGCCAATCATACTAAAAGATTCATTATTTACCATAAAATAATCATAACAATAATATCTTATCCGAACATCTCGAGAGACAATGTGGCAAATACTCGCCCTTTTATATTGTTTGTATACAATATGCATTTGACGTTTCACACATGAGTCACGTCATTAGTCATTAAGAAATATTCATTGTATACCACAAATTTGAAGAAGAATATATTATATGAGAATCTAAAGTCATTCATATTCCAAAACCAATATCGTAGCGTAACAAATTTTGCCACTGAATTATACTCTTTTAAGCATCAAATGGTCCACAAAAATATTCTCTCACATAAAAATATAACAACTTGAAATATCTTACCACTTGACCACATTCTTAAGAACATCAAGCACTTTCAATCAAACATATGTTGTCATAGAATCTCTCTCGTCGCATTGTTGATCAAATTGAGATTCAACTACCACTTAATCACATTGTTTGATCAAATTGTTGATCAAATAGTTCTTATGTCGTTTAACGGGAAACTCGTTACACGTAATATTCAATCACGGGCCCCACAACCGAGCCAAAGAACGCGCCGAAACGCACCAAAACGTCATCACTTTAAGTACGAGCCAAACTCCGAACCTCATGCCTACAATAACAAATTCACACAAATGTTACTCCAAAGCCTCAGCTTCGGCTCCGAACCTAATAAGCATCCTCCGTTAATATCTCTGGTCGCTATTCTCTCTCTATTTTCTTTTTCTTTTTCACTGTTAAAAGCTCGAAGGCCCTTCTTCTACTTCAGTTACACTCAAGAAAGAGTCCATTTATTTTCTCGGAAAAAAAGGAAGATCATAGAAAAAAATTCACACTCTTTTAAGTGAATTAAGTACTTAAGGTTTCAGATCACTGTCACTGTCACGAAATTTCAATTCATTTTAAGGAGAAAATGGTCGTCAGCTAAATCTTTGCTGATTTTTGTTGTTGTGGTTTTCTTTTTTGGGTTGATGAAGTTTGTGTTAGGGTTTATGAGGTGGAGATCTCGTGGAATGGTACTGTAGGCGCTGATCCGTTGTTTCACCGGTATGGTTTCAGCTGAATTTCGATGAGAACTGTTGGAATTCTGTGGTTTTGGTTTTTGAGTTTTGCTCTGTTTGGTTGCTCAGAAACTCGAGGATTATGGAGGGAAAAGTTCATGAAGTTGCGCATTATATGATTTCTTTTTCTTTTGGTTAATTAAAAAAATTCTGTGGAGTCATACAGATGATTTGAAGTTCGAGTCATAATTGAGCTAATAATTGTGAAATAATAAACTACAACGGTTGAATTTCCATTTTCTTTTTCGGGTTTTCTGGGAACCAAACAGATTTCTCCTCTCTTTTTTTTTTCTTTGTTTTACACAAATGAATGATCATTTCTTAGTTATTTTGGTTGAATTTACCTTGATGAGGGGATACTGAAGCTGTTGGTGGTGATATATAAAATAATTGCAGGCCAAACAGTGGTTGCTCGTGGTTCATTTGTTTGGAGTTATTTAATAAAGGTAAATCATGGCACAGAGCAATTGGGAAGCTGATAAGATGTAAGTGTTGCATGAATCAATTTTTTTGATTTTCTATCTGCTTGTAATTTTCTATATGATAATTTGTTCCTGGGTGTTGTTCCTTTCCTTTTACTGTTGTGAATTGATCATCAGTTTGATGTTTAACCAGTTATTGATTTGCTTTTCTGCTACAGGCTTGATGTTTATATTCATGATTATCTGTTGAAAAGAAAATTGATTGCTTCCGCAAACGCATTTATGACTGAAGGGAAGGTTGCTACAGATCCAGTAGGTAATGTTGTCAGTTTCTAATTCATTCTCAATCAGCTTACTGATTATGTGATTTTGAAGATTCAACTTAGCATGCATTTGCGGAACGTCATTTTATATCATGGTTTATGGTTTATGCCCACATGCTTGCACTGCGACGGCATGATTTGATAGTATATGTTTTTTTCTTTTCAAAAATAGATTTTGGTGTGAATGTCTATCTTGAGATTTTCTAGAGAGTAAACCTGTTTTAGATTTGAATGTGCAGCAATTGATGCACCAGGAGGATTCCTCTTTGAATGGTGGTCTGTTTTCTGGGACATATTCATTGCAAGGACAAATGAGAAGCATTCAGAGGCTGCTGCAGCTTACATTGAGGTTCCTTCATATATTTAGATTTTCATATTTTCTCAACAACAAAAATTACTGTTTGGGCTTTTTTTTCCCCTGAATATGTTTTCATGAAATTAAGGCACAGCAAATTAAGGCAAGGGAGCAACAACAGCTACAGATGCAGCAGCTGCAGCTATTGCAGCAGCGCAATGCTCAGTTACAGCGTAGGGATCCCAATAATCCTGCTCTGGGTGGTTCTATAAATGCTATAAACTCTGAGGGAGTAATGGGGCAACCCTCAGCCAGTGTGCTAGCCATGAAAATGTATGAAGAGCGTATGAAGCACCCTCACTCGATGGATTCGGAGACATCCCCTGCGCTTATTGATGCCAATAGAATGGCCCTACTCAAATCAGCTGCAAATCCACAAGGGTAAATTGTCCTCAGTTTTCATATTTATTTGAGCTTTATTTTTCCCTTCATTTCATTTGCCTGGAAAGAATGGGTCGTTCATCTGTTTGGTTCTTGTTGATTCAGCCAGTTGGTACAAAGCAATTCTGGGAACATGCCAGCTGCTTTGCAGCAAATCCAGGGACGAACTCCTTTAACCACTGTAACTACTCAGACTACCTTTACTCTTCATGCATGTTTCTTTTTTTCAACTTTATTATATTCTGGTTTCTTTGCCTCTTTTTTTCTAGCATACTAAGCAATATAATGTATGGACTTGTGGAGATTGTAGGACATCAAAAGCGAAGTTAACTTGGGTGCAACTCAGAAAAGTTTGCCTATGGATCCTTCATCAATTTATGGACAAGCAATTTTACAGTCAAAATCTGGCTTGGGTGGTGCAGGTGACAATACTTGACCCTATCTTTCTCAGATATGGCCCCGCATGTTGGGAATAATGGTAATTGTGCTTAGAAATTTTACAAATGAAATCTTCCTTTCGTCCTTCAGGACTGAGTCAAGGTATTACAGGTCTTCCTTTGAAGGGTTGGCCTCTAACTGTAAGTTATTTATGGTTTTTCCTTCTTATTTGTTTCTTCTTTCTATTGTGAGTTTAACTCTTTGTTGTGATAACTGTTCCATAATACAGGGAATTGACCAATTACGACCAAACTTGGGTGTACAAGTACAGAAGCCAAATCTTCATACCCAAAATCAGTTCCTTTTGGCATCTCAACAACAGCAAATCTTGGCACAGGCTCAGGCACAAAGTAACCTTGGAAATTCAACGAACTACGGAGATATGGATCCTCGTAGATTTTTGCCCAGGGGTAGCTTGAATGCAAAAGATGGTCAAGCTGCTAGGAATGATGGATCTATCTGCTCTCCAGTGCTATCAAGTTCACCAAAGGTAACCTTTCTAATGTCATAGATTCATCTCATGAGGATTAGGATTGAAAGTACGCATACACAGAGAGATTAGAAACTTTGTTATTTGACCATCCTACATTATTTATGTTAGTCGGTTACCTTTATGGTTTTGGTATGTGACGTATTTTCCCTATAATGATTAAGAAGTTATGTATTCTATATCGTTATTACCCCAGACTATGAAACTTCAGGGGCTTAAAAATATAAATCAGGTGATTGTACACTAATCACTATTTCTTTCTTTGTGTTTAACAGCCCCAAAAGACGGAAAGAGCATATTGAACCAGTTTTTAGTGTTAGGGTTTTAGAGTTTAGGATACTGTTAAATCTATTGTCCTTGATGCTCATGCACCATTTTCTGCAAAATTTGCCTTTTAGGTATTTTATGACATTTTCACTGGTTTGACAGTCTTTGTTTCTTGTGATTTTTTTATATTTAATGTTTTCAAAAACATTGATCCTTTGCAAGGTTCAAAATATCTTAGGCGTTGTTGGTTTTCAACAGATAAAAATGGCCCAGATGCAACACTCTTCCTCCCAACAACATGAACAATTGCAACAGCAGCAACTGCAACAGGTTGTGCATAGTTATGCAGAACTAAACTTTGTACTTTTTCCATAAGCCCTTGGTTACGGATTCAAGTTTGGGCATGGAAAATTATTGCTATTTTTAGTTTGAGCTTATTACTAAACTTGAGCTGTTTCACAGAACCAAATTTATAGACAAGGATGATATGATTCCTGCTACCATCTTATTCCTTTTCAATTAGGACCTGATATTTAGATAAGCTGATCAGCATCTATTGCCCTTTTTTCCCTGCAGAATAACAGAAAAAGGAAACAACACTCTTCTTCTGGACCTGCCAACAGCACTGGCACAGGAAACACTGTTGGCCCTTCACCTAGTTCTCCCGCATCAACTCACACACCTGGTGATGGGATTAACACAGCCAGTAGTCTGCAGCATGTTAACAGCATACCAAAAAGCTTGATGATGTATGGTCCAGAAGGAACAGGAGGCCTTCCTTCGTCTTCCAATTTACTGGTATGCTCACTTTAAAATATGGCTGTGAATGGCATACAGTTTACTTATGGGATATGTGAAAGTACACATATTTGGGTTGGTTTCTAATATGCTGCTGCTTCTTTTTTTAATGAAAAGAACTATGCTGCTTTTCATATTCGTACTTGTGATATTTGATTCTTTCCCAAATATGGGTATAGTACTTGAGCTATCAATTTTAAGTATAAACTTTGTCAAGATTTTCCAAAAAAAAAACTTTGAAATCAGTAAACTTTGCAAAACGCTTGGTTTGATTGTTGAGCAATCATTGTTATCAATAAGTTTTGAGTATCAATTTTTTTTGATATTTTATGGATGTGGAAACGAGGAAGATAGGTGGAATGATTCTACTTCTAAGAGCATTGTTTCCTAGTGCAGGATGACTTAGAACGATTTGGAGATGTTGGTTCTTTAGAAGATAATGTGGAATCATTTTTGTCACATGATGGGGAAAACAGGAGGGATCTATATGGGACACTAAAGCAGAGTCCTGCAGGGCACCATAAAGAGTGTTCTAAAGGTAACTTGATATTATATACATTGTACCTTCTGGGGAATTGGAAAAAATTTCTTCATTCTACTTGATCTGTGGCCACATTCTTCTATTCAGGTTTTACATTTGGTGAAGTTGGTTGCATACGGACCAGAAACAGCAAAGTTACTTGCTGTCACTTTTCTTCAGATGGGAAGCTGCTGGCTAGCGCTGGACATGACAAAAAGGTATATACACAGTATAACAACGCATGCCTAGTTTCTATCAAGGTCAAAAACACTGTTTCAAACAAGTAGTGCCTGCACATGTTTAAAGGAATGGAGAGGTCAAGCTAACATAAATGTTAGACACTGCTGGTTCAGTTGATGATATAATTATTTTTATGCATGCAAGGAAATGGTATAATTGATTTTGGAGCTTAAAAGAATGAGAATAATTAGCATTTGTTATATATGTCAGGTTGTCCTCTGGAACATGGATACCCTGCAGACAGAGAGTACTCCCGAAGAGCACAAGTTAGTCATAACAGATGTTCGTTTTAGACCAAATTCATCCCAGCTGGCAACAGCTTCAGTTGACAAATCTGTGCGATTATGGGATGCAGCCAATGTAATTGTCTTTGATCTCTTTTATGCATTGTCTGCTTCAGCTGACACAATAGGGGTGTACCTAACAGAAATTAATATTTCTGTAGCGTAGTTCTAGCCTTTAGATGTCTGGTTTTACATGCTAGGTTGTATGAGATGTGTAGTTTGTTTAATTTGTATCCACTTTCATTATACTAGTATTGCTGATATTTATATTTTGTGGCAGCCAAACTATTGTTTACAAGCATATACAGGGCACAACTCACCTATCATGTCCCTTGACTTCCACCCTAAGAAGGATTTATTTTGTTTCTGTGATCATGACAATGAAATTCGCTACTGGAATATCAACCCATTCTCCTGTACTCGTAATTCCAAGGTTTGTAAATCTTTCTGATCTCATTCTTCTAAATTTACATTTTTTTTATTTGTATGAAAACTACATTGATCACCCGAAAAATTGTCTGTATTGTTTTGGATAGGGAGGTACTGCACAAGTGAGATTTCAACCAAGAACTGGACAACTGCTGGCAGCAGCATCAGAAAAAATAGTTTCCATCTTTGATGTCGAAACTGACAGGCAAACACACTCATTACAGGTACGATGCCTGCAAATATGGGGTTGACTAATTTATATTCTGATTGGAAATGTTGGTTTGTTGCTTTAGGAACAAGTAATTAGATCTCATTAGTTATATGATTTAACTCATCATCCTCATTCTCAGGGACACTCTGAAATGGTAAACTACATTTGTTGGGATGCAAATGGAGACTATCTCGCATCTGTCAGTCAGAACTTGGTGAAGATTTGGTCGTTAGCTTCAAGCGAGTGTATTCAGGAGCTTGGCTCTAACGGCAACCAGTTTCATTCTTGTGTTTTTCACCCAAGTTATTCAACTCTCTTGGTCATTGGAGGAATCTCGGTAAATTCTTAAACTCTTCTGTGTGAGTGAGCCATCTTATCATGTAAAAAGCCGATTTATTGCTAATAGTTGCTTTTATGCTTGCGAGCTAGTCTTTGGAGCTGTGGAACATGACTGAGAACAAGAGAATGACAATTACGGCACACGAGAATATAATCTCAGCTCTTGCGCAGTCACCCGACACTGGAATGGTTGCATCTGCAAGTCACGACAGCTCCGTCAAGCTATGGAAGTGAATTTAAGTACTATGGTGGTAACATCTTATAACCTTTGAAAGGCTTTGGTGCAGAAATCTGGAAGGGGGAAACTCAGTGGCAAATGTTTCGAGTTCATATATATGCAGGTGTTTTCAAGTATAGTATTATAGTAAATAGTTTTATAGGCAGGGCTTCTTAAAGTATTAATATCATATAGTAATTATATCTAAGATCCTAGTAGAAAAACTCTTTTATTTTTGGTTGCCGTCGGGTTAGGTCTTTTGTCTAATGTAATTTCTTAAGTTTAGTTTCTATGGTTAATGATTTGTGTGCCTGTTTTTATGTGTATTTTATCTTTATTAGGAAAAATCTTGCAATATCATTGCAATTGTCAAACAATTAACTTAATAACAAAAAGTGTAATAAATCTCTCACTGAATTAACGAGCCCGGCTATCAAATTAAAAACCATAATCTCTAGGAAAATAATTTCTTCCTACACTTCTCTGCTAATAGTAGTGTTACGTGTGCATAAGTATTTCTTTTTGTATTTTTTATGAATTATTTTTGCTTATGTGTCAAATTGTGATTCGTAAGGAGGAGTATCTCCTTACATTGATTGAGGCAAGCTGTATCCTAATCTCTAGAATGTCATTTTGTTTAGGGGATCGAATTTTTATTTTACTGTTTGTAAGATTATCCAATGATGCATGTTCCTTCAAATGTGGTTGAATACAAAAGCAAGGATGACTACAAGATCCTGTTTTTTTTTTCTTTCTGTCTGAGGCTACAAGATCAGACAAAATGAAAAATAAATTTTTAAATAATAAAAAATAAAACATGGCAACAAGACAACGTCGACGTAGATAGGTGTCATGTCAACTTCGATGGTGATGTTATGTCTTTGTGGTGGGGTTGCGAATCACGATTGAAATGAGACCGTTATCTCTTGTTACCAATCATAGCTTAGATTAGACGTAAGAATCTCAAATTACTTTTCTTCTCTGTCTAAATTTTTCTTAACACGGATTCCCTCGTGCTCAAGACTTTTTCTACAGCACGTGCATCTTAATTTCTTATCTTTATCTAAAATTTACACAAAACTATGGGGACAAATAACATCAATAAATCGAGTTCCGTGCACGTGCATGCCTAACACGGCAAAATAACCTTGAACACTATTGTTACATACAACTCCTTTCACGCATTTAACCCTAATTTACCGTTAGATGCATTTTACAATAATGAAGTTATACACAACAGTTGTATGCAAGAATTTTGACAATATAGCCCAATTCAAAATTGCAACCTCTATAACCACAAGGTGTGGTGCAGTTGGCAAACTGTCACCTTCAACTGACGAGCTACTTAGTGCCTTAATGGCAGGGGTTCAAAAACCGTTTGAAGCATTTTGTGATCAGGAGCAAGCCGAATTCCGAGTGGGGATTCTTCAACTGGCGAGCTACCTAGTGCCTTAATGGCAGGGGTTCAAAAACCGTTTGAAGCACTTTGTGGTCAGGAGCAAGCCGAATTCCGAGGGGGATTAATCCCACCCTTCAGGTGTGGAGACACCTTGTGATATTTACTAAAAAATAATTGCAAGCTATCACCTTCCCTATGACACGGTGTATCAATCAAATATGAGTATATGGTCTCTTGTAACAATTTAGGCATTCGATGCGCGTGCATTTTTTAACACATGTCTAAATAGCATTGCATACAATTGTTGTAAACAACTGATCTTCGATCCCCCGAATACCAGTTGTATATGACAAGAACAGCCACCGTTTTATGGGTACACGGAGCACGTCCACAACAACAAACACGGCTTCGAACTAATTAGTTACCGCCATATTTTAGACGTGACGTTTAATAGAGGAAGCTAACAAATCTCTGTGTGTAGAATCTTCACACCTTCATTGCCTCCTCTGCTTCTCTCTGTCTCTCTGTCTCTCTCTACCAACTCTAGGGTTTCGCAGCGCTATCCACCAAATATAGACCAGAAGCTTTCAATGGACGACAATCAAATTTCACTCGGCGTTGAACAGGAGGAAATCTCCGATTCCTTCATCTGCTGCGTTTGTTTGTAAGTATCCCAAATCTATACACTCTCTGAATTCTGAGCAATTTGCTGTGTAAATACAATTGCGTTTGCTTATGCTGATTTCTGTGCAATTTTGTTTTTTGGACGGTGCAGGGATCTTCTTTACAAGCCTATAGTGATCTGTAAGTCGGCATACTTGGTTGCTTAAATTTCATGAACATGAGTCACCAACAACACACACAAACACCCAAGTCTAGGGCTACCGCAAACTCACATATATCTTATCATCAAATGTTCATTTGATTGTTTTTGTTTATGTATTTTCATTGTGGGTTGCAGCTTGTGGTCACGTTTCGTGTTTCTGGTGTGTGCATAGATCGATGAGCAGTCTAGGCCAATCTCAATGTCCGCTTTGTAGGCATGAGTATAATCATTTTCCAACCATCTGTCAAATGCTTCATTTTTTGCTACTCAAGAAGTACCCTGTTGCCTATAAGAGAAGGGAATTGCAAATTCTTGGTATGCTCTGCTTCATCTTTTTATCCCCATTAAGGGCATGTTTACGTATCAGTAATGGAGAAAGTAAGGAATCAGAGAATTTAGGAATCGGGGAACTACTGAATCGGTATGGGAAGAATCATTCCCATTAAGCTGTTTACTAAACATATGGAATTAGCAAAGGAATGGGGTTGATTCCCATTGTTATTGTTTACTAATTTTCATGAATCAGAATCCAAATTAATCTGATTACTAAAATGCCCTGTACATTTTCACCACAGCACATATATAATTCTCAAATTGGCTAAGGAGACCAAACTAATCCGGTAGCAAACTAGTAAGGCGGTGTAAACATGAGGAATCAATATGTTGAACAAGATGAACAAGAGGCCAGTTCAATGATAATGTTAATAACACATTTGTCAAGAGCCAATTTCAAACGAAAAAATAAACTCCAATAAATATATATCTTTCACGTACATAACTAGTAAACAATCAAATAATAATGACTTGCATAATCTTCATACTACCAAAAAAAGAGATATATAATCTCCACAAAAATCTTTATCTATGACCGTACTATGTTTTGTGATGAATGTGAAGACAGAAGATAGAAGAAGAAGATAGATAGATAGAATGATTTACATAGCACAGGGCATTGTTGCTGCTTATGAGAGGTTGTGTTTGCAACGATAACGTGAAAAAGAAGTTGGAGCGTCTTGGAACTTCTTGGCATGAGTTTTTATTTTTTTTAGGGTTTGGGGTGTTTTGGAATTATGGTAAAGTAGTAAAAGTATTTTTGGAAGTTATTAAGAGAAAACAAGAATGGGAATCGTATCGACTACTCCCCCCTAGGTGATCTGATACCCAATTTTGAGGGGATGTGATTACGGATTTTGAGGTGGAGGCCACTTATTTTTTCATTCCTGATTGCAAGTAAATGCAGGGGAAGGCAGGAATGGAAATCATTCCCTTTCCTCCCATACCCATTACTGATACGTAAACATGCCCTAAACTTCTTCTTATTATCTTGTTTTATTCTTCGTGGCTTCAATTGTTCTAACTAACGATCATATTTGCTTTCACTTTGTTCAGTTTTCATAAAATTCTGATTGCGTTTATTGTTACCTTTGAATTTGCAGAGGAAGAGAAGAGAAGTGGCTGCTTCTCGCCGCAGTTAAATGCACATGGATGCAGCTCACAAGCTAGTCAAGACTTGCATATTCAGAATAATGACACAGCTGGTCCTAAGCAAACCCATGGTGGAGATTATGAGGGAATTGGGAATGTTACTGATGAAGAAAAGAATTCCGTGTTAAACACGGATAGCAGGAGTGGCGACTGGATTTCAGTTGCTGATGTGATATGTGCCGCATGCAAGCAACTGTTGTTTCATCCTGTGGTTCTTAACTGTGGCCACGGTACGTTTAACACTCAAATTTATTATATGTTATCAGGTTTCAGTCCTCTGTTCTGAATTGGTGTGTGCAGTTATTCTAATATTCATTTTTTTTTATCACTGTACAGTATATTGTGAAAGTTGCATTGTTAAACCAGATGAACAGATGCTTAGATGTAACGATTGTCAAAGTTCTCATCCATCAGGATTTCCAAAAGTTTGTTTGGTGCTTGGACACTTTCTGGAGGAGCAATTTCCAAAAGAATATGCACTTAGAAGAGCTGCTGTACAGCTTAAACAAGCTGATTCGCAGCATGAGAACCCAAATGCCTGTAAGTCCAATAATGCTCAATTCCATTTGATTCTGATGATTAAGTTTATTTGATATAGAATCATGCATCGGTTACACGTGATTCGTAGTACTTGTGCAGTTTAATTTAAATTTAATTTAGTATAGCATTTGAAAATAGATGAAGAAGAGTTTATAAGCTTTGCCCCTAGTATTCCTTTGGCATCCTAGGCTTAGAGTTGCATCAATAATACTGATAGCATGTAGTTTATGAATAACCTCTCAAAATCTTATTTGCTACCCGATTGGAAGTATTACATCAATTTACATAGGTTGCTACTTTTCTTGGATGGTTATTTCACTAACAAAGCTAAATTACAAACCTATAAATATGATTAATGGAAGATTTTTGACCTTCACTGCACAACAAGCAATAATGCATAAAAGGTTTCCAACTTGTTTAATCAAGGCTTGCAATTATAAAATACCTCAGAAACTAAATTGCTTTTGTCACTTTTGCCTTAGTATGAACCGTAGAATGATACACAAAAATTGTACCTGGGTTTGATGTTGCTGATATATATCTTATGATTGAGCTTATTTGCTATACTGCTGTAGTGCTATGGTGTGAATTCGTCATATCTTACATTTACCAGTCATATTGTTGGTGTATCCTCGCAGGTGCAACAAAAGCTGATACGCAAAGAAAGAAGTTATCATCATGGTCTGACCCAATTCACATAAGATTTGGTTGTGATTCTTGTGGGGTAAATTTCTAACCCTCCCTTTCCCTGAACATTTATGCTTCGATTTAGTGGCATGACATGTCTGCTCAATACATTTTCAAAACATCTTTTTCTCTTTATTGTTCATGTGTTTGTGACGATGCAATGTGGATATTTAAACATTAAACCAATCTTTTGGACGAGATGTTGATACATGCTAAAACTGTTTGGACTAAAATATGTATTAATTCATTTTCTGTTATGTTAAGCGTGTGAGTGGGCATAATATTCTCACTGCAGACTGCAACTTTGACATTGTGCTAAATATAAGATCCAATGATCTTATAACATTTCTTGGAAAAAAAAAATTGATCTTATAACATTTCAATTCTCGTGGAAGTACTTAGACATTTTCATTTATATTTGCTTTACGTTTGCGTAAAATGGGAGGTTGATTAGATCAGTCTTTCTCTTCTGTTTTTTCCCTGCTCATTGTCACCGTATATAAAGTTTACGCAGCTCAGTAACATCTTGGTTTTTGTCTGCAGATGTATCCCATCATTGGGGATAGATACAATTGCTTAGATTGTTTCGAGAAAAAAGGATTCGACCTTTGCAGCCATTGTTATAACACCAATTCTAAGCTTCCAGGTCGATTTAATCAGCAGCATACACCGGAACACAGGTTTAAGCTTGTACGCAAGGACTCGATTCGTAATCAGTTAAAGCTAGTGATCGGAGACTTAGATGATATTTCTCTTGCTCTCATTATCGCTAGTATTAGTTCAGAAGGAACCATTTCTCCTGATGCTCAGGAAGATGCCGAGAATAGATCAGCTGCCCATGCTCCCTCCACTAGTAGTGGAGATGAACAAGATGAGTCTTTAACCTCAGATTGAGAAATGATTAAAACCAGCAAAACCGCAGCTTAGTAGTTATGTATTTAAATGTAGAGTTTTGGAATACAGTAATGTATGTTGAAAATGCTATGCTTCCCAAGTATTAAGGAGGGTGTATTCAATTTAAATTTTAAATGATTTTAAAAGAGTTATAAAGTTGATGGAGTTTAATTTAATTGAGTTTGATTGAATTCTACAAACTCCACATAGATTTTGACTGAATTCGTGTATAGATTTTAACTGAGTTTGTTAGAATTTTATTATTGATTTTAATGGAATTTATAGCGATGGCGGTGGTGGTGATGGTGATGACGGTGGCAATGGTGGTTTGTGGGGGAGGTAGTTGTGGAGGAGGTGGAGGTGGTAGTGGTGGTGGCGGTGGGAGTGAGGTGGTAGAGGAGGTTAGGGTGATAGTGATGGTGGTGGTGGGGGAGGTGGAAGTGGCAGTGATGTTGGTGATGCTGGCAGTGGTGACGGTGGAGCTGATAGTGGGGGTGGTGGTGGAGGTGGGGGTAAGGGTGGTGGCGGTGCAGTGATGGTGATGGTGCTGGCGGTGGTGGTGGTGACGATGGGGGTGATGGTGGGGCTGGTAGTGGCGACGGTGGTGGGTGGTGGTGGAGGTGGCAGCGAATATGGTGATAGTCATGATAAGATGGTGGTAGTAGAAGTGGTGAAATCATATCTTAAAAATAAAAATAATATATTTATCAAAATCTCTGGGGGAAAGCAAATATTTGTCATGGTCTAAAATTAGTCTATTATCAAATGAAATCCACCACTTTTCGTATTTCCTTTAAAATCAATGTTTTTTTTTTTTTGATAACAAGGGAGGCTAAAAGCCTAGCACAGCAACCCCTAAGTAGCAACAAAATATCCTTTAGGAAGTCAGGAACCGTCTCATAGAGATGAGTCCCAGGACTAAAATCAATGCTCCTAGCAGACAAAGCATCAGAAGCAAAATTCTGCTCACGATAGATATGGTTTATAGAACAACGCAAATCAAAGAGTTTTTGAATACACCCAAACTTTTATGAAGTCTTTTAAAGTTGTGATTGAATACATCCAAATTTGAATGGAGTTTAAAAAGTCTGAATTGAATACACCCAGAATTGAATAGACTTCTATAAAATCGTAATTGAATACACCTAAACTTTTAAACTTCTTTTAAATCTTTTAAAATCTAAATTAAATACACCCCCTAAATTTCGGTTTAGGGTTCATATCAAGAAGATTGATTGTACAGTTTTAGAACTTTGGTTGGTCTGTACAACATTCGTTCATATGTATGCATTTAGAAAGTGTATTTTTCTTGTAAGTGTATATAAATTTATGCAACTAGATGAAATTTGTAGTTGTAGTCCAACAAAAACGACAGTAATTGGTTTCAAAATTTTGTGTTATTGGGGAAGGGATTCGAACACACGACATCATGGCCGACTCTTCAAACAAATTTAGTTTTCAAGGATAATAGGTTTTTTTTAATGAGCTGGGGTTAAGAACCCCAAACAAACACCACAACTACTTAACACAAACTAAACGAGGTCGAGTCACTCCGAACTAATCATCCATTACAATAATTGTTTTTAATCACTTGAATTACTAACATAATTTTTTTTTAAATGCACTAGAAGAGAAGGCCCATAAGAGCAACTCCACCCATTTGCCTCTTGCCATGGCAAGGGGGGGGGGTTAGGGCAGCCACTATTCACGTGAATAGTGGTTGCCCTTGCAAATAGTATTTTTTGTGTTTTCACCCGTTGCCATAGCTAAGGGCAATTACTATTCATTTTTTTTTATTTTTTTCACAAATTTTTTTACCTCAATAATTAATTTGGATAATATTTTCGGATAAGATTTCCGGGTTCGTATGTGTCAATATTTATTATAAATTTCATATCTAAATCGGATAAAATTTTGGCATTTATAGAAGAAAAAAAAATCAGTAATTTTTTATTAAAAAAATTCAATTTTTTTTCATTTTTTTATTGCACAAAAATTGGTTGCCATTGGATTGGAGTAAAAAATCTGATCAGAGCGCGACACGTGGACTTTAACGGCACGATAGCGTGAGCACTGTAGCACAATCACTGTAGCACTGACGTCACCCAACCCGCGAGTTGGACCTCAGGCTGAATTAGCCTTCGGGCCAGCCCGAGTTGGTGGGACCCCCAGGTTGCCCGGGCTTAGGCTAACTGCTGGAGCTTCGTTTTTTTGCCTTCCCCCCAGCCTTGGGCTCAGCCCCTCGCTGGACTTGCTCTAAGTTGAATGAGTGGCTACAGGTCGGGCAAAACATCTACCGACGGAGCCCGTTGAAATTACGTGTCAGTGATAGAAACAAGGGACCCGTGAGAAGGAAGGGCCACTTGCCCGCTGATTGGCTGGGAGGGTCACTGTAGTTGCTGAGTGTCAGTGCGTGATTGCTCCTCCGACTGTCACCACCAGCCTCCTCGGAAACCGCGATTTACGCAAGAGGTGATATCACGCGATCTTTTATTTTATCTTTTCTGGGTTACATATCACGCGATATTTTACACCCGTGATGAATGAAAGGCAAAATGGGCACCTGAAGAGAGAGAGAGAGAGAGAAGCGGGAGGACGTCAAAAAACGATTGAAAATAGTTTTGGAGATGTGAGTGAGAGAGGGAGTGATGATTGGGTAGCGCAGTCCACACGTTGGCCACCTGTACGGCAGTTGGCCCCCCTAGGGCAAGAATAACAGAGCCCGGTGAAAAAAAAGGTTAAAAATCAGAGGGAACGGACGCTGTGAAATTTGTGTCATCATGGACTATTCTGGTTTGGGGTTTTTAGGAGATTCCCCTTGGAAGTTTGAACAAATACTAGTTTAAAGGGTCTTGGGGAACAATTAAATTCCATTAGCTTCCACGTGTGCTACTTAGGGGAATGCTTAGGGTCGATAACGGGCGTTGGCGCATCACTTAGTTCTAATCGTTAATGCATGTGAGAGCAATTGTAGGATTCATATGCATTTACAATTACAAGTCACTCACGAATGTCACATAACAGGTGATCTCATATAATATTGTCTAATAGATTGTTGGTCTTTGAAATGACCTAAAAATATGGCATTCGTTGGATTTTCAAGTTGAAAAAAATACAAATAAAATTTACAACCTTTCATATTTTACCCTCCAACTCTTTCCACATTTTGTTTTGTTATCTTAGTTCAAATTTCAAGAGCTTTGCTTCCGTAGCTCTAATATATATGTAAACGACTATATATCATTGCTATGTAAAGAATTCGCATATATTAACGATCGACAATCATTTATTTGTAAGCAAATAACTACCAAAATTTGTGTGGATAAAAGTAAGAAGTGTGTTCAATATGAAAGTGTTGGCGGGTGGGGTCTTTCAATAATTTGATTCTGCATTAGCTTCTCTTCTTAAATTTTTTAAAATTTTTTTTTAAAAAAAGTAAGTCAAAAAAATAAATTGGCATTTGATTGTGAGGTGGACGGGTAGCTGCATTCTGATTGCACCAATAAGATGACAGCGTTTTGGCGGGAAATAAAAAGATTCCATTACGATGCCGGTACTACAATTTTAAGGAATTAAATTCAGGTTGATGGTATTGGTGTTTGCGCTTAAACACACAATTTTTTGTACTAAAAACTGAAAAGCCATAAATTCGGGGGAAAAGTTTAATATATTAATCTAAATCAAAGGCATAAAGCCAATGCCAAATCAACATCATCATGTTAAATACTTTTTTGAGCATTTCAAGAAACTCTCAGAAGTGAAAGTTTGTAATGATTTTGTTTTTTGTTTTGTTTTTTTTATTTAATGGTAATGATTTTGTTTTAGGTTGGGGAAACAAGCCAACTTCTTTCAAATTCACACATCAAATCTGCCTTAATCTCAGATTGAAATTTGACTAACCCCCAAAACAAAGTTTTGACATGCTTAAGAAAAATATATATATATTTATCTAAATTGGAATTTAAATCAAGTAGATAGGTAGGCATAAATTATTAGTCCACATCACCAACCTTTACCTACCCTTCTTTCTAAACATCGGCTCTTCTTCGAAATTTGTATGAACAACGAAAAGGATTGAAATTTTTTTTATTTCAGTTTCTTAATTGGATATTTATAAGAGTATTTTGACACAAGCGATATTTTCTCACATGCATTAACAAAGTGTCATAGAGATTCGAACCTTAAACCATTGATCAAAAACCTTTTTCATTGAGTTATCTCATTTTAAAATGAAATAATACAAAAATACTCTTGCTTAGTGGGATGTTAAACTTTCAACTAATTACTGTTTACTTGATTAATGCAATGCAAGAAGTCATAGTCTTAAATGCCAAAATGCTGTATGGCATATAATTTTTTTCACCGCCATCTGTTTGACTTTGTATGTCTTGGTTTTGGTGTCTAATTAATTTCCATATTGCTTTCACAAATTTTGGTTTTTGTTTTTTAACTTACAAAACTTGCTTGCAAGGATGGTGCTCACACTCTCACGTAGCCTTGGCTGATACCAAATTGCTACGAGTTCATGAGTAGATCTTGCTCTTATAAACTCGAGTTATGAAAAATAAACGAGTCACGTAGTTTATAAACCATTTCGATATAGACTAGTTTTCGAACATAGGATATTGAATCCTAACAAATTACTGGTTAATGTAATTTGCGAATGGCTTGGAGTTTTATAGTCAACAAAGCATATTGATGTAATCCTAAACTCCCATCTCCATTAATTAAGCAGGAGAAAATTCCTTTACTACTTCCATAATTGAAGACTTGAGAGACTTTAAAGACTTTGTACAACTTCGTCCAATTCAAAGTGGAAGACTTTGAATTAGTTTTCACTTGAATAAGTTGTCTCCTTGAATTAGTAACATTTATTTTTCTTATCGAATATAAGGAAATTTTAGTTGGATTAAACATTAATTGAACTTCAGCTTATGAAAATATATAGAATAGAGAAAAAAGAGAGGAAAATATAGGTTTCAAATACTCACCCTTATTACCTCCTTGTTTGTTTGTTATTTTTTTTTTTAATATTCAATTGAATTTTTTTATGTTTCATCGACCCTCTCAATATGAAAGATCCTCAAAAAATAAAACAAAAACAAAAAGATTTAATATCCCCTTTAAAACCCATAATTTCTATATGAAATTAATAAAATTGCATGCAAATCCATAACAACTGGGTTTTTTAGGGTTTTTTTGTTAGTGAAAAAGCTAAAATCTTTATATGAAATTTTATTAAGATAATATTTTTGTTTTTAATTAATAAACTTTTTATAAAAAAATTCATTTTTATTTATTTATAAAAGATAAAAAAGAAAATAGAGAAAATAGAAATGGGTCCACAAAAAATAATTTAAGAGGGAAGGGGTAAATAATGAAAATACGACGAGAATGAAGATATAAAGTACCACTGTTCCCTAAACCCCAACCCTAACTTTTCTACCCTCTTTCCCTCTCATTTCAGTCTTCTCCCCCCAAAACCTTCTCTCTCTCTCTCTCTCTCTCTCTCCTACGCTTCTCTTTCGTCACCGCTTTCACAGTCGCTCTCATTCAATCCAACCTTAAAACCCAACAACAACAACAAAAACAGAGGAAGAAAGAAATTTGACTGAGAGATAGAGGCCCTAGGCCGAGAGAGATGGGGAAGTACATGAAGAAATCTAAAATCTCAGGTGACGTCGCCGTGATGGAGGTCTCCGTTTCCCCGCAGTCCTCTCTCGGCGTTCGAACCAGAGCCAAAACCCTAGCCCTCCAAAAACTCCAGCAACAACAGAAGCAAGAGAACCAGAACCAATCGCCCTCTGTGGAACCCGACCCAGATACCTCCTCCTTGTTCTATCTCCAGCTCAGGAGCCGCCGTCTCGAGAAACCCCCATTGCGAAACGACATCGCCAAGATGCAGAGCCAGAGCGAAGCTGAGCCCTTGGAGAAGCCCAGAGGGTGTTGTGGAGAAAGCCGAAGAAGGGCCATGGATTCGAGGCCCAATTCGAGGTTGAGTGTGGGCTCGTCGTTGGACTCTGGCTGGGCTGAGTTCGTTGAGAGAAAGGAGGAGGAGGGGGAAGGGTGTTTTGGTAATTTTGGAAATGAAGCAGAGTATGGTAGCGATGTGGGCGTAGAGGCGTCGTTTGGGGAAAACAACTTGGAGTTTGAAGCCAGAGACAGGTAAATTTTGCTTCTTTGTGTGAGGTTTGTTTTTTCATTTTTGAAGAATGGCTCTGTAGTTTTCACTGTCTCCTTTTGCCTCTTGTTTATGAAATATGATTTTCTGCAATTGTTAGTGATGGTGGGGTTAACTGTGTCAGCATTTCTCGAAATTGAAAAGAAAAGTTTGTGTCAATATAATAATTTTTGGTTACTTTTTGCGTTTACTTTTATTGTTGGGTTCTATTTTTATAATAAATTTCAAGAAAAAAAACACGAAAGAAAAGATATGGGCTTCTTTTCATACATGAAAATGTGAATTTCCCTTGACCTCTTCCCTCTCATGAAACGGGTTGTGTTTTTGACACCTTGTGGTGTACCCTTGAAACGTTTTTTGCTTTGGCTTTTGGGTCACACAGTCACAGTCATTTGCTTTTCGTGGTTTGTATTTTTCAGTGGTTGTTTTATGTGTTGTCATTTCCCTTCTCTTTTTAAGCTAGACTACTATGCTACTGCAAGAACATAAGAAGATGGGATATTTACATTGTCATCTGATTTTTGTGTTTTCTGTGTGTTTTTCGAGGTACTAGACCACCACAAACATATATAAATTGAACTCGGCCATTGGGGTGTCCTACTATTTGATTGACTTCTGTGTTTTCACCTTCATTTGATGCATTAATGCTATCATAAAAAGGCTAGTGATGTTTGTGACACGTGAGGTGCTTCAATGAATTATTCAAAAAGGCTACTTTTCCATATTAATTGCAAATTAATATTTGTGCATTATCTATGTAGAGTTACTATCAAGCTCCATTTTAAAGAATAATTCAAAAAATAGCCAATGAGGGTTGGTTGAGCTAGTAAGAATCGTTCTCTTCACTATCAAGGCCTAGGTTAGAGTCCCTCTGCCGACAATCTTTTTTGGTGGGTAATTTGTAAAAATAAAAAAAGAGGCTAAGACCCCCTTTGTAAGTCCTCAAAGAAGCCTTGGTATGCATAGCCTTGGGATGGGGTAGCATCCCCTCCCCCTAAACTTTTGCTCATAAAAAATTTAAACAAAAAAAAACAAAAAATGCTACTTTTCCATATTCATTGCTGTTTAATATTTGTGCATTATCTATGTAGAGTTAGTATCAAAGTCGAAATTTGGTCGTCGTTAGAGGCCATTGTCAATTTAGTTTAGGCCCTCAATGATCTCCTGCAAAGTTGCTTATCAACCTGGTAATTAACTAGAAACATTGTTTGCATCTGTTAGTACTAGTACGAGAAGAGGGAAAAATTATTGGTTGGTATTCGGGGTAAAAATCCATTTTCTCCGGCTGGGTTATTTCTCGTTTAATTTGCAAAATAGCATATCTGAAAAGCAGGCGTGCCCATAATGATGAAGTAAGGAAAAAATAAAATTATCTTTTGCAGTACTGACATCAATAGCTCTTCCGCTTCATTTGTGTTAGCAATAACATATCATTTTCACGGGGCCTAGTTTCAGTGATTTACACTCAGTTTTGGGGTTAGTAGTAGATGACAAAGAGTTGCAGATCTCGTGCTTTTTCTGTATTGCATACGCTGCCAAAATGGAGCTTGTTTTATTCAATGCACTTATTTTTTTTCTTCTCTTTTTGATACTATTTAAGTTGTCATGCTTATAAGTGTGCGAATAATATTTTTATCAAGGACACAAAAGAAATATACTTTCTGAAGGATGGAGGAGGGTGGGGTAATAATAGTTTTGTCGGGAGTGTAGTCTAATGCTGGCATAAGATTTTACATGAAGGGTGTTTTGTATGTGTGAATAATGTTTAGATGCAATGCTGCAGAGTTATTATTGATTTTTGTCATGTTTCTATACAGGAGCACCAGAGAAAGCACACCATGCAGCTTCATAAGGGAGTCAAACGCTATTGGAACCCCCGGTTCCACCACAAGGCGGACAAGTTCTGTTGCAACTCACCGGAGGGTTGGAAATGATATGCAAAGAAATATCCCAACGACACTTGAGATGGAGGAGTTCTTTGCCAAACATGAGCAGGAGCAACAGAGAATTTTCCTTGAGAAGTATGTTACTTAAACTGCAGCACTAACTTTATCTGATTTTGGTTTATGTTTTATTCTGTAGTGCAGATAGATTAGGGCTACATGCACCCACGAATACCATGAAATCCTCTTATTTGTTTGTTGGATTTTCTCAGATACAACTTTGACATCACCAGTGATTTACCCCTTCCCGGAAGATATGAATGGGAGCAAGTGATTCCCTAAGCAGAGTCTATATCATTCAGGTTCTGATACCAAGTCTCTCAGTTGTTTTCTTGTTGAGCATTAGAAGGAAGCACCGGGAATGAACGGGTGCAGCATCCTAAATAACCTTTTAAGCCCATGTCAAGGGAACTGATATGACCGTCATTTGATGATTAATAACAGAGCTATGAAAGTAGCCCCTAGAGTATAAAACCACATTCGTAGATCAAGAATGAAGGGATCGTTTGAGAAGAGATTGGGGAAACGAGTGGATGGTCTTTCGCATGAATGGATTATGTGACTTCTGACTATGTCGGTGTCATTTTTAAGGGGGGGTATATCTAATTGCTAGATTTTCACCTTTTCTTCTCTGAAATTAACCTTTGTCTATATTTAGGTAGGGATGACTCAAAAGAGCGCATGTGCTCTTTGGAAATAAATGTAACTCATTTCCTTCTCGCATTCTATTGATGACTAAATTAAATTGATCATAACCTTGCACTCTTTGGTATGGCCCTTGATGTTGATGTTTCCATCCAAGTATGTGAATGAATCTTATGTGACATAGCTTTCTGATTCGGTTGTTTCCTTGTTAGATATGTAAGATTGCTTTCTGCTTTTGCTTACTTTAACTTCTTGTGTGGAGTGATCCATGGAGCCAGTTGGATTGGTTGGTTAAATTCAAACCAAGAATTTTTTATTGGTTCTCTTCTTTCTCTAATATACAGAAAACAAATCGTACATCCCTTGGCATTCAGTTTGTTGAATCAACGATTTTCTCCCTTCTAAATTTGTGGTGCCAAAGCTGCCCCAGCTAAACAGTATGTCAATCAAGTGGGCATTTACTGAACTGAGCATGCATGAAGCCATGAATGTTTATACTATAGAGACAGTTGTGGGGGGTTGAGTTTTATTTCTTTCCTTTTAAGTTCACATGGGGACATGGTACGATTCTGCAGTGAATTCATCACAAGTAGAAGATTTTGTGATTTTGTGAGGTTTTTGGCTGTTGCTATTGAGTCCAAATGGATGCGTGGTTTTTCGATTTTGCACCACTTTGTTTTGTACTTGAAAGAATATATGCCTCGGAGAGCAAGGTGGTGTTGCCATTTGCCAGTGAATTTGGCAGTATAGTAAAAACTTGAAATCCACTTGTAAGGGTAGCCAAGTAGTAAAAGAGAAAAAGGTGAACTCAAGAATTATAATACGGGACTCCTTAATAGCCATTTGATCAATTACAAAGCTATTATGGGCAATTTATAGAAGCTCCCGAAAGATCTATAGATAGTTGAATAATATCAAATCCGACCCAATGCCATTTCAAACATTACATATCCTCATCAGATCCAAA